TGAAGTAGGCAATGGAACGTTCTTACTTGTTCTGTGGTTTCCTGATGATCTACCATCCACGGGTTGTTCTCGTCAGAGTTATCGATCGGTTACTAAGGGCTGGGCCAACAAGCGAAACAGGAAGCAAAGAACTATATATAGTACGGGTTACTTCCTCCAAATTAAATAATAGCTACTAAATGCTATAGGAGTGGCGAAAGAAGCTCTACAAAATGGATACAAACAAGAAGGCTGTAGATTTTAGGTGGCCTTTGGAAGAAAAGTATTATTTCCACAACAAGGTGCTGTCAATAATGACAAATATACTTTAAAGGTAAACTTTGTCTTTATATTATTAGCCAAATAATCCGAATAAAATTCGTGAATTCAGATACCACATGGACCAAAGAAAGCTAGTTGAAAAAGGACAGAATAGGAAGGAAGTTCTAAAGCCAGAAAAAAAAACTAGGGTTGCCAACAGATTACCATATTTTAAAACCAAATGACCTTGGCCTTGAACTTAAATTTGAATAAATGAAAGTGAATGTAGATTTTAGCAAAGAAGAAGTAATTTGGAATTTGAACATTTGCAATTAGATTCATAAAAGAGAAGAAGGAAGGTCAAGGTCGACAATTGATGTCAAACTGTTTGTTTACATTCAGCTACAGGTTGTAGAAAATTAATATACATAATTTGAACAATCTTGTGTTATCTTTTATCGACAGGTAAGCTTATTATTAAGTTTTTTAAATTTTATAAAAATATTGCAACGATAAAATGCGAACCATAACAAGTGTCTAAGACCATCCAAATACTAATTTAAAATTGCACTTAACAAGTCATATCCCACATATCTACATGATCTGGCTAATGAATCCTATAAGTACATATCAAAACATTAAAAAACTATCTAAAATTAAACAATAATTTGAAAATACAGATGAAGATGATTTACCTATCAATATGAAACTTTTAGTAAAAATGAAGCTTTATAAGAAGATAAAGCCTATTGATACTGATAAAAATATGAATATATTGGGGAGTTAAGGGGGGTTAAAATATAAAAAAAATCCTAACTGAAAAACTTGAAATTTTTAGCAAACATCAATCTTAAAGGAGAAGCCCTTTCATTATAAAAAAAATCTGATTAAATATGGGGGATTTAAGGGGGGGTTGAAATTAAAAAAAAAATCAAAAATGAAAAGCGATATAAACATGAAATTTTTAGTAAAAATCAAGGTCTATAAGGAAATGAGGCCTATTGATTGTGAAAACAATCTGTTTAAAAATGGGGGTTAAAGCGGTCTGTTAAACTGCGAAGAATATCATTTAAAATATTATATATCTTTATTCTAGTTTGTGTCCGTGTAATATTATGTACTGTGATGGGACTGATCTTATAAAATAAACATTTAAAACATTTTAGTTCTTATTTTAATTGCCAATAAAAGGTATTTAAAAACTATATTTTTTATTTGACATCTGTGACAAATTGTGAAAATGATTAGACTTACAATAAAAACTAAAAAATGGTAGGTAAAGTTTCATATAAAATTTTTTACACAAAAATCAATGTCAAGCTTTCTACATAACCTGATATATATTAAAAATAATCTCAAATTATGAAGAAAAATCAGTTTACAAACTAATAATGTTTATAGATGGTTTTCAACGTATTAAAAACAAAAAAAAATATCAGACTAACTAAAATATTCATTTATTAATAGTTGTAGTGTTTGAAAACAGTATGATGTTGATAATAATAACTACACAAACTCAAATAATAAAAACAGCGATATTGAATCTTGTACAAAGTTTTGATCCGAACTTACATATAACAAAATTATTGGAAAAAGTAAACACCCATTTTCAATTACCACCAACCGCCACTGAAATGGACTTCTAATATTATTCTCTATAATATTTGTTTTATACAAATTTTTTTCCTAAAACGGTCCGTAATCGAGAAATTTCACAAAATATGCAATATTATGATTTTTAAGAAAATTGTTAAACTAAAAGTTGTTTGCGATATCGATCTCTATAAGTTTTGTCTTTACCCGATTTCTCTAAAATGGACCGTAATGATAAAATTGGAGGAAAAGTGTAAAATTATAATGTTTCGAGTTAAAAGTATGTGAAAAATGTGTATTTTAGTTTATCCTCTAAAAATTTACAGAGGTGCTACAATAGGTTAAACAAAATAACTAGAAAATGCCTATAATAACTAGATAGAAAAAGTATGTGTTGGACACATCAGATTTCTACTAATTACAATGACAATATTGATGATATGGAAAAGGTTTAGAGGACTTTTTTAAATTTTTATCATTTAGAATTGATGCTAGATAATATGTTTTTAGGAGCACTTGCCTTTTGGTCATCCTGTTGGGTATATAAAAACTATTTTTTCTTTGAAACATCTAAGAGTATGTAATAGTACGATAATTATTTAAAAACCGTTATCAAAAAATCATCCTTCTGAAAATTTGCGCAAACAAAGTGTACCTATGTTTTTAGGTCACCTTAAAACTAAGTTTGCTGTTAAAGTGGGACATGTAAGATGATTTCCTTGCCGTAGGCCGTTTTGTGTTAACCCCTCAACAACACACACAACGCCTGAATAAGGATCAACTATTCAAGACGCAGGATAAGGATCAGCATAGTTAAGTAAAGCGTTATAATCAAATGTGGACATGGGCGTCGATTTCTCTTTGTGATAAAATAACGCCTTATAATACAAAAAAAATGTAATGAAACATGAGAAGTGTATCATAGAGAACAGTATTCGAGCCACTGTTATTTATAGTTTATGTGTGTAATCTCTTTAGGGTTGAAAACAAAGAAAAAAATTTTAGATTTTCAAATGATACGGTACTACAAGTTTTTATCCAATTTTGACACATTAAAATGACTTTATCATTTCCATAACAACAATAACAAATAAAGTTTTATTTACTAGCAACTAAAAGAGTGAGTAAAATTTTTTTTTTAGTCACTAGTGACTTAAAAAACTTTTAAGTCACTATTAGTTAACCTAATAATGTACCTATATTACTGTCGACAGCCAAATGTGGAAGTCGCTATTTAGGTATCGATATTACCACTTTTTAGGCATGTGTGCATATATTATGTAAAGCCAATATAATAAACAATGGAATCAGTCTATAAGTTTTATTATAAAAATCAAATTGTAACAATAATTATGGAAACAATGAAAACAATAATACTTAATGGAAACTACAATGGAAACTATCTTTGCATAATTATTTTTTATAATCAAAATAAAAGTTACAGTTATTTAAATTATTAAACTAGAGCTTCATTTAGTTGTTTAGTGGAATAGTTAGTTGCTCTGAAACATTAGAAACTACGTTTGAATGGATGGGTTCATTGTTAGAATCGATGTTTCGTACCGATGGCGATGGGTTCATTGTTTAAATTGGAAATTTGTAATGTATTCTCCGATATATTATATTTATTATTGGCTACTGTCCCAGCTTTTTCAGGTGCACCTACTGCAACTTCATTACCCAATATTTTTCTTGAAATTTCCATTTTTAACCGACTTCAAAAAAGGAGAAGGTTATCAATTCGTCGCGATATTTTTTTTTTAAGTATGTTCAGCGATTATTCTTTAACACGGTGTACGATTTTAATAATTCTTTTTTTGTTAGAAAGGGGGTATTTCAGGGGTAGTCCCATATAAATTTAGTCAAAATCTAATAATTTTTAATTTCTAATACTTGTATTTCCTATAGAGTGTTCAACATATCCTTCTGCAACTGAGTCAGAACGCCATCCTCCATGTCTTTTTAATATCGATAAATCGGGGCCTGCTTCCGCCAGCAAAGAGGCAGAGAATCGTCTAAAACTATGTCCAGTATAGTCTCCCGCATTTTCTAAGCCAAGAAACTCTGCTATCTTCTGAGGCATTTTGGAAAATGTGTTGAAACCTACAGGCTGTACCGTGCATTTTTCATTTTTATAGTTTAGGAATAGTCATGTATGTGGTACATTTTGCGGGCGCAATTTCTTATATTTCTGAAACACATTAATTGCACTGATATTATTGCTTCCATTGACAACAGTGAATATTCTTTTTTTGTAAGTTTTAGTGTCGGGAATTTTCATTACTTATACACTTCCTCTGTCGTCAACATTATTAGTGGACATCGCTACTAGTTCGCAAATTCTGCAGCCTCCTGAAACTCCCATTATCAAAGCTACTTTGAGCAGTTAATACTTGTCATCAGGAGCAGTATCTAAAAATTTTTCGACGTCTTCTCTGCTAAATACATTTGAATTCTTTGGTATATATCCCACTGATTGGTTCTTTAAAAATGCTTTCACTTGGTGAAATCTGAAAAAGTAACCTTTTATTAACTTAAACGTCTATTTTTTAATATAATTTAAAAACCTAATTGCTTATGTCCACATTTTCTTTAACGGACAACATGTTTTTAAGTTGCGAATAATAGAACCATAATGACGAAGACTTCACATTTTTTGATTTTTCAGATATGTATGCCATTATTTTCTTCTCGTTAACTCCTTTAACCTACTTTTTGTTTGGCCATTGGCAAAAAGCATATACTCCTTCTCGTACAACGATTTAGATTTATTGGTTACTATTTTTGCTAAAGCCTCATTTGCTGCATTTAACACTTTTTCTGGAACAAGTTCTTCGTTCACAAAATCTAAGATATCCATTTTTCCAAAATTTTAAACGAAAATTAACTCTTTTGCCGATGTTTTATATCGTAGATTTTAGTCAATAACAGTTATATTCAACTAACTATAAACAAAGTCTAAATAAACAAGCCCCAACAACGCCTAACAACCAGATTTAATATAAATTGCACCGACTACTTGTCAATTACATTGCCATAAATGGTTGTTAAATACAAAATTAAATTTAAAAAACACCTATATTTTGATCTAAAAATGTCAAAATTGGATAAAATATTGTATACGCCTCGTGAGTTAATTAATTTTTATTCGCTCGGAAGAAATTAAGATCGCTCGCCTAGCGGCTCGCGATCTAATTTCTTCAAAAAAAAAAACAGAGAAAAACAGAGAAAAACAGAGAAAAACAGAGAAAAACAGAGAAAAACAGAGAAAAATAGAGAAAAACAGAGAAAAACAGAGAAAAACAGAGAAAAACAGAGAAAAACAGAGAAAAACAGAGAAAAACAGAGAAAAACAGAGAAAAACAGAGAAAAACAGAAAAAACAGAGAAAATAGAGAAAAACAGAGAAAAACAGAAAAAAAACAGAGAAAAACAGAGAAAAACAGAGAAAAACAGAGAAAAACAGAGAAAAACAGAGAAAAACAGAGAAAAACAGAGAAAAACAGAGAAAAACAGAGAAAAACAGAGAAAAACAGAGAAAAACAGAGAAAAACAGAGAAAAACAGAGAAAAACAGAGAAAAACAGAGAAAAACAGAGAAAAACAGAGAAAAACAGAGAAAAACAGAGAAAAACAGAGAAAAACAGAGAAAAACAGAGAAAAACAGAGAAAAACAGAGAAAAACAGAGAAAAACAGAGAAAAGCAGAGAAAAGCAGAGAAAAGCAGAGAAAAGCAGATAAAAGCAGAGAAAAACAGAGAAAAACAGAGAAAAACAGAGAAAAACAAAGAAAAACAAAGAAAAACAAAGAAAAACAAAGAAAAACAAAGAAAAACAAAGAAAAACAAAGGAAAACAGAGAAAAACAGAAAAAACAGAGAAAAACAGAAAAAAAAAAACTTAGAAAAACAGAGAAAAACAGAGAAAAACAGAGAAAAACAGAGAAAAACAGAGAAAAACAGAGAAAAACAGAGAAAAACAGAGAAAAACAGAGAAAAACAGAGAAAAACAGAGAAAAACAGAGAAAAACAGAGAAAAACAGAGAAAAACAGAGAAAAACAAAGAAAAACAGAGAAAAACAGAGAAAAACAGAAAAAAACAGAGACAAACAGAGACAAACAGAGAAAAACAGAAGAAGAAAAAAAAACAGAGAAAAACAGAGAAAAAAACAAAGAAAAAACAGAGAAAAACAGAGAAAAACAGAGAAAAAACAGAGAAAAAACGTAGAAAAAACAGAACAAACAGAGAAAAAACAGAGAAAACCAGAGAAAACCAGAGAAAAAACAGAGAAAAAACAGAGAAAACCAGAGAAAAAAACAGAGAAAAACAGAGAAAAACAAAGAAAAACAGAGAAAAAAAGAAAGAAAAATGAGAAAAACGAAGAAAAATAGAGAAAACAGAGAAAAAGATAGAAAACAAAGAAAAGCGGAGAAAACAGGAAAACAGAGAAAACAAAGAAAAACAGAGACAAACAAAGAGAAACAGAGATAAAAAGAGATAAAAAGAGATAAACAGAGACAAACAGAGACAAACAGAGACAAACAGAGACAAAGAGAAATAAACAGAGACAAACAGAGACAAACAGAGACAAAAAGAGACAAACAGCGACAAACAGAGACAAACAGTGACAATTGGAGACAAAGAGAGACAAACAGTGACAATTGGAGACAAAGAGAGACAAAGAGAGACAAAGAGAGACAAAGAGAGACAAAGAGAGACAAAGGGAAACAAATAGAAACAAAGAGTGGCAAAGAGAGACAAAGAGAGAGAAAGAGAGACAAAGAGAGACAAAGAGAGACAAAGAGAGACAAAGAGAGACAAAGAGAGACAAAGAGAGACAAAGAGAGACAAAGAGAGACAAAGAGAGACAAAGAGAGACAAAGAGAGACAAAGAGAGACAAAAAGAGACAAGAGAGACAAAGAGAGACAAAGAGAGACAAAGAGAGACAAAGAGAGACAAAGAGAGACAAAGAGAGACAAAGAGAGACAAAGAGAGACAAAGAGAGACAAAGAGAGACAAAGAGAGACAAAGAGAGACAAAGAGAGACAAAAAGAGACAAAGAGAGACAAAGAGAGACAAAGAGAGACAAAGAGAGACAAAGAGAGACAAAGAGAGACAAAGAGAGACAAAGAGAGACAAAGAGAGACAAAGAGAGACAAAGAGAGACAAAGAGAGACAAAGAGAGACAAAGAGAGACAAAGAGAGACAAAGAGAGACAAAGAGAGACAAAGAGAGACAAAGAGAGACAAAGAGAGACAAAGAGAGACAAAGAGAGACAAAGAGAGACAAAGAGAGACAAAGAGAGACAAAGAGAGACAAAGAGAGACAAATAGAGACAAAGAGAGACAAAGAGAGACAAAGAGAGACAAAGAGAGACAAAGAGAGACAAAAGAGATAAACGAAGATAAATGGAGACAAACGGAAATAAACGGGACAAATGGAGACAAACGGAAATAAACGGAGACAAACGGAAATAAACGGAGACAAACAGGTACAAACAGAGACAAGCAGAGACAAGGGCAGTGGTATTATAGCACAAAGACAGAAGATAAAATATTTTTTTTACTACTTACATGAAAAATTACCATTATTTACTCCATTATTCCATTGAGAAGTAATATTTCTCACGTTAGGTAAATAATGATAATAAAGAACACCTTGGTAGATAATGAAACATTGTCTATATTTTTAATTAAATGAAGATAAATTTATTATTAACCTAATTCTAAGCAAAAATCAAATAAACTTAAAAATTCAACACTGGTAAGTGGTATGATAACAATTATTAAATGGCATTTAAAATTATATTCCGTTAGTTTTATTTTGTTAATTTGACAATCAAGTAGTCTGGGAGTACTTGATGTTTTCAAATATTCAAAAATTACATAGAAAATAACTAATTATGATAATATATTAGTGTAAGCAGTAAAAAAAATTCTATACATACTGCGATTGAGAAGGCCATTACAAACCTCGCACATTATATCCTTAGACGCTACGCGTCTGAGGATATAAAAGTGATCGGTAAATAATAGCTCACTTCTCAACCTAAATGTATAATGTACTATTATTGCGGTCATTTTAAAATTTTATTAAATTATAATATTTTAATTTACCTCAAATTTAGATCTTTCATTGATTGGGAATTCTAAATCCCGAAAGAATATTTTCCATTTTAATAATATATATTTAAAGTAAAAGAGCATAATGTGTATACATATTTCCTTCATTATCGGTGTGTTTTATGGATTTTATACTTATGTACGTCCTGCTAAATTCTTTTCCTCGCATCTTTACCAGAAATTTAAATTTCGTTCAAACGTACAAATAATAAAGAGCACTCTTGTTTAAAGAGGATATAATTTCTCAAAAATTTTATTCGTTTGCGAAAGACATCTGTTCTTTCACACAAAGCCTTCCTATTGTATTTATTTTTGAATTTAAACTCGATCTGTTTCAAAACTCTCCAAAGACTATATATTTTTTTCTTTTATTTTTTTAATACTTAAGACTAAAGATAAATATTCCTTCTTTTCACGTATTCTATATAGAAAGTTATTTAAATACAAATTTGTTACCTTTGGAAAACTCTGTAGTCTTTGGATATTAGCAGGGTTTAAATTTCACCGTTTTATTTTTTTGTTTTATTTTTTAACATTGACTAATACACGTTTATATATGGATAAAACTAGTAGCAACATTGGCTTTCTCAGCAGTCAAACTAGAATAAAGATATATAATGCTTGGCATTCTATATTATATTCATCACAGATTTGTTTTTAAATCAATAGGTTTTATCCCCTTGTAAATCTTGTTTTTTATGAAGATTTCAATTTGATACCATCACCTGTTTCTGAGTCAAAAGGTTTTGTCTCCTTATAGAGCTTGATTTTTGCTAAAAAAAATTTAAGTTCATATCATTTTTTCCTTTTGAGTTTATAGGCGTTTTTATATTTAAACCTCGTTTATCCCCCATTTTTGTCATTTTTGTTTTATCAAAAGAATTCATTTCATTATAAAGCTTGATTTTTACTAAAAATTTTATGTTGATATCGCCTTTGGTTTTTTATTTATATTTTTTTATTTCATTCCTTCTTCATGCCCCCACTTTATTTACATTTTTTTTTTCAAAATCAGTAGGACTCGCCAATTAGAGAGCTTGTTTTTTGCTAAAATGTTTAAGTTAATATCATTTTACAGGATCATCCCCTTTACCTGAAGATTTTAATTTGATATTATTAGATTATTAGATATTTTTTTTTCAATATTTGAACCCTCCTTATCTCCCAATTTTAATTAAATATTTTTTTCAGAATTAATAGGCTTCATTCACTGAAAATGTCATGTTGATATCTCTTTCCTTTTTTATTTTTTATTTTTTTTTAATTTCAACCTCATTTAACCCCCATTTTTAATCATTTTTTTTTCTTTTTTCTTATCGTGCTTCTTTTTACAAAAATTTTAATATCAATATCGCTTTTCGTTTTCGATTTACGATTTAATTTTTATTTATAAGCACCTTTAACCCCTACATTTTTATTTAGATTTTTTTTTATTGAATAGGCTTCGTCCCCTTATAAAGCTTGATTTGTCGTTTTTAACTTATCGTGACATCGGACGGACGGACGGACTGACGACGTTAGAATTATTAATTCTTCTAACTTAATCTTAAGAAGGGGTGATACAAAAAAATAATTAAATAAAACAAATTATTGAGTTGTAAATTGGATAATCATTTTTAATTGCTCGTACTTATATTAAAAGTATTGTAGTGTTCATCTATATCACCTAGCACAATGATAGGTCTTACTTTTTACTAAGACTGTACTCTAGGTAATAAAACACAGAACCTTTCTTTTCACGTTTTTGATTTCACTGCCCTGCCTGCGTGGAGGGCACATAAAAGGTGAGCGATGTATTGATACCAGTTACTTTTTAAACTGAAAAGTAACTGGTATCGACATATCTCCCACCTTTCGTATGCAATCAGTACAAGCCGAGCACTAGAATCAAAACCGGTATTAAATATGAAATAAGAAATAACCTATAAATTATAAATATTCAGCCTGCACGATATGTGAGTCAATGGTGTTATACCCCAATCAGTACTGTTTGGTTCCCAATTAAAAGTTTCTATAGAGCTTAGTTTATAAAAGCGATGGGACAACCCCTCTTTTTATTAACACTAAAATTTTAAACAGTCCTACACAATTTTAGTTTTGCAAATCACAGAAACCAAGTACTTATTTTGAATTCTGTATAGTAAATAGGCTCAACTTATTATCTAAAACCATAGAAATTAACTATCTCTCGTCAATATACACTACCCTTGGTGATAGGATCGCTGAAGAAGTTCCCTGTACCTTCTGAGGTATATATAATTGGTAGTAATGATTGGGTTTTCCTTACTTGTTAACCGACTTCAAAAAAGGAGGAGGTTATCAATTCGTCGCGATTTTTTTTTTTTTCTTTTTTTTTTTTTTTCTTTTAATGTATGTTCAGCGATAATTCTTTAACACAGTGTCCGATTTCAATAATTCTTTTTTTGTTCGAAAGGGGCTACTTCAGGGGTGGTCCCATATAAATTTGGTCAAAATCTAAAAATTGGGTCCATGAGAAAATCCTCAAACTCTTCATTTTTTATGTATGTTTAGCGATAATGCTTTACTACCTTGTCCTATTTATATGATTCTTTTTTTGTTAGAAAGGGGGTACCTCAGGGGTGATCCCATATAAATTTGGTTAAGATGTTGTGATGGCATCTGCACGTTTTTGAAGTCGGTTTTTTTAAATTTTTAATTTACACTTGTCTAAAAACGGTAAGTTTTATTATATTTTTTGTATCACCATAATGCCGCCCGTGTGCATTCTGTAATATATCCTATTAGTATTTGAGCGTAAGTATTGTAGATTAATGTGTCTAGATTCTAGAAGACCTAGATGTTTTATTTAACACTGGTTTCGCATTTGTTTTGTCTTGAATGTAACTCGTAGTGCTATGAATCTATTTTTAAAGTAAGATTTGATTTGACTGAAAGTTTATAGATAGTAAATTCTTTTTCTTTGCAAATTTGGTCAGGCAAATCCTGATACATTATTTTCTCGGTTATTTTTAGGGACCATCTCTTTGGTCTCCCTTTTTAAACAGCATGGGATGAGAGCTCAGATTTATGTTTGTCCTGATTGCGTTGGGCATTTTGTAGAACTTCGCTTCTTATTTGATTTGGTGATGGCAGTAGAAGTTTCAGCATCTTATATTTTTCCAAGGTCAAAGGAATTTAAATGTAGTCTAGTATACATGTTATTTTGAAGCTGGTATTTGACTAATACTGTAATTTTTTTTAGCCGTTTGGTCTTCGGTACAAACAAGGATCAGCTTCTCTTGATTTATTTCATTTAACGAAGGGATAATTACTTAAGGGTATTACTACCCATGCGCATTTGGAAATATTGGTACTGAGTTATTTAGGCTTTTTTGGTCTATGCACCTTTATTTTTCCTTTACAGAATGTATAGAAGACATTATTATTTTTATTTATCGCTGTTACGTTTCCATGGCAAACTGATCTTTACTTTTGAGAAAACGAGCGACCTTTGGTATCAAATGTTAACGATTGAATAATTCATACACAATTGTTTTAATGTTTTTTTTTTTCTTTTAATCTACATTACTATAGATACTTATTAAGCTAAAGTAGATACACAAGGGGGGCTGTTACGCCACTTGTACCCAAAGTAACCGCTAGATGGCGCCATCTGTCAGTATTGAGAATTGAACCTTGAATAAGTCGTTTGCGACTGGACTAAGCGACCCAAGATGGCGACCATCGTTTACGCTAACGAGTTTAGATTCACGTTAAGAAGAAAAGTCATTCACAATGACAAAGCCAAAAGGGCATTAACGTATATCTTCGCCATTATTGGTTTATTTTAAACGGGAAAAACGGCGTTGTGAAGGAGACTTGGTAAACAATGACATTAAATTAAACCATAATGCGCAATGGCAATTCCAAAAGAACCTAAGTCTATATCTTCATTGCTATTGGTCCAATAATAACGATAAAAGGGATAATAGCGATGATATATGTCAATTTATACTCTTTCGCGTAAAAGATGGTCACCATCTTGGATGGCTTAACTGAGTCGCAAACCACTTATCCAAGTTTCAATTCTTAACATGACAGGTAGGGCCATCTAGCGCCATCTAGCAGTGACTTTTGAAACAAGTGGCGTAAAAGCCCCTTGTGTATCTACTAGCTAAGGTTAAAGCCATCCAATTTGATATACAGAGTGATCCATTAACGTGAAAAAGTAAAATATCTCCGCCATTATTGGAGATATAAAAAAAATATTTTCACAGAAAGGTAGACAGCGATAAACTACATATTTTAATAACTTCTCTCAGGAACCAACTTATGTTCTTCTTAATATATCACCCTGAATTTTATTTTATATTTAAATTACCCTCACTTTTCCCATTCTAAAAATATAAATTATTGTTGGTTTATACAGGGTATTTTGCAGGATATAATCAGTTTTGTATGAAAATCGTATTGAATTCAATAACCTATATCATGCAAAAGAAACAACTGACATGCAATTTTTTTCTAACATGGTCAAATGTTGTCCAGAGACACTACTTTTTTCAATTAATAAACAAAAAATTTAGTAGGGTTCATTTGTAGTTTGTGGTTGCAATGTTTATTTCTTTTTCTAATAAATGTATAACTGACATTACATATTGTCAGAAACTTAGTTAGTCGATAATAAATAATTACTTCATTAAATTCAATTAATTACTAATGATAAATAAAATGTATTTCCAAACAATTATTTTCTGAATTATCGTTTTTACCACTAAAATTTAAAAATCTCTAAAAACTATTAACTTTTGGTATAGGCAATGCTTTAGTCAAATTAAAGTATAATTAGGATAATTTTGAACGGTGATATAAAATACAGGGAGAACAATTTAAAAAAAATGAGAAAATTATTTATTTGTGTTTTGACTCACTCTGTACAGACTTCATGCGAATTGAAAAAAGTAGTGTCTCCGGATAAAATTTGACCATAATTAAAAAATTGTGGTAGAAAAAAAATGGTTATCAACGGTTTCTTTTGCATGATATAGGTCATTGAATTCAATACGATTTTCACACAAAACTGATTATATCCTGCAAAATACCCTATATAAACTAATATTAATTTAAATTTTTAGAATGGGAACAGCGAGGGCAATTAAAATATAAAATAAAATACAGGGTGATCCATTAAAAAGAACATAAGTTCGTTCCAGATGGAAGTTATTAAACACCCTGTATATTCAAAAATAATTTTATAATATGTAGTTTAACGCTGTTTACCGTTCTGTGAAAATATTTTTTTTATATCTCTAATAATGGCGGAGATATTGAACTTTTTCACACTAATGGATCACCCTGTATATTTTTTTTTAAGTAATTACGAGAACAAATAAAGCAACAACTTGATAGTCAACCAAACTCCATTGGGGTCTGTTAACTGATTTCCTTACCTTTTTACTTCCCTCTATAAAAGGAAGTAATCGTAAAAGAGTCACCTTCCGAGATTATTTCAGGTTTTCATGTTTTAGGGTTCGTAGATTACAAAAAACATGTTTCCCCATTCCGTGGGTCTGTCTGTCGTCTATCTGTCGGCGCGATAGCTCAAAAATGGCTTCATAGAAAAACAAATTTTGTATGCAGATAAGGTTCCTTTCTAAATCAAACCCAGTCATACTTCTGATCTGTTATATACAAGGTGAGGAGTTTTTAAAATAAAAATTATTTTTATAAGTCGGCAGATTTCTTCCAAAATTGGTATCAGAGAATTTCAGGCGTCAAAGATTGCAGATCCTAAATAGGTTTTTAATAATATAAAATAAATATATTTAATCAAAAAATGTTCCACTTGATTGGAAAAAATAAAAATCGTCCTTTTGGTTTCTGTAACTGGACCATTTTAAAAGCAACCAATCAGTATTTTTCAAAAACGGTAACCCTGACAAAGAATTCCAAGTGGACGCGAAATGGAAATTCGGGTGGGATCCAGAGGAAGATCGATGGACTGGGAAATGAGAAAAAGGGTTTTTAGTTTGGTGGTTTTAATTTTAAAATTCCTAAAATTCTAGGAGTTCCCTGCTTTTACAGTTTCTATATAGATGAAAGTTCTAGGTAAAATACTTTACCGATTTATTTTAATTGTTAATACTCACTTTTCTTTTCAATAAATTGGTACATTATGGTAATTGATACTGTTGATACAGGATTAAAGTTATCTGGCGCCCAAGAAGTATTTAGATTAATTTTAGTAAATTTAACATACTCCCGTCCCAACACGAGTGACCCGATAGGCATAATATTGTAATCGATAGTTCACCATACATTGCATCCAATTGGGGTGGTTACAGCAAGAACCCTGGTCTCGACGCCTATGGACTAGACAGTCACTAAATTCGGAATAAACTCGCAAGTGGTGGATAAACCAGGCGCTTTTGCATATTATCCACTTAGTGAAAATAAACTCAGTGGTGCAGAGTGCACAAATACAAGATAGAGGAGGCAGTGTATAGACACAAACACACAGACAGACACACGGGCGAGCCGGTTTAATAGAATTTGTACTGCCTTATTGGGAAGTTTCTGGGTAAGGAAATTGAAGGAATTAGGGGAAGTTTTGCGGGAGGGGTTCGCAGGGGTAGTTTGTTAGCGGGTTACATTTGTGAAGTTTACCATGCGAGGCGAGACTACGATTGTAGCTCGCCGTGCCGCGCTGATTAATACAGTAAGTTCCAAATTTGTGGATACGCTTGGTTATTAATTTTGAATAATTTCGGCAAATGTACATCGGGAGACAATTTCCTTTATATACCTCATTGTTTTGTCATTGTATTTCCGTTAAATACTTTATTTTCACATTTAAAATTTTAGACTATTTATTACTAAGAAAGTACGAAGGAAGTACGAAGGAAGTACGAAGGAAGTACGAAGGAAGTACGAAGGAAGTACGAAGGAAGTACGAAGGAAGTACGAAGGAAGTACGAAGGAAGTACAAAGGAAATACGAAGAAAGTACGAAGGAAGTAGGAAGGAAATACGAAGGAAGTACGAAGGAAGTACGAAGGAAGTTCGTAGGAAGTACGAAGGAAGTACGAAGGAAGTACGAAGGAAGTACGAAGGAAGTACGAAGGAAGTACGAAGGAAGTACGAAGGAAGTATGAAGAAAGTATGAAGGAAGTACGAAGAAAGTACGAAGGAAGTACGAAGAAAGTACGAAGAAAGTACGAAGGAAGTACGAAGGAAGTACGAAGGAAGTACGAAGGAAGTACGAAGGAAGTACGAAGGAAGTACGAAGGAAATACGAAGAACTTACGAAGGAAGTAGATTCCAAGGAAGTACTAAGGAAGTACTAAGAAAGTACGAAGAAAGTACAAAGGAAGTACGAAGAAAGTACAAATAAGGTATGTGAATTAAGGGAAGTACAGGAAGTACGAAGAAAATATGGGAAGTCCGAAGAAAGTACGGGAAGTCCTAAATAAGTACGGGAAATACAAAGGATGTACAGTTGTCGGTTTTCTAGAAAAGTATCGCAATATACTTTTTCTACGCCTACAATGACTACTTCAATTTTTATTAAAATGAGATATCTTATTTCAAATATACTTTATAAGGAGAATATTTCTTGTTTAGTGATTTAAAAATAACTAGGTAAATTATGAAAAAATTGTTGATATCATAATCAAGAAGATTTTGTTGTTTTTTTTTAAACTTTTTGTTAAACTAAAATAAATGATAGATAAGAAGTGTAGAGTACTAAAAAATCTTACGATTCATTTTTTATATATAAGAAAAACATTTTTTATTTTTATAAATAACAAGGCAAAGTTCTTTCCAACCGGGTAATATTAAAGTTTTTTATGATATACCTAATAAAAGAGTTATATTTTTAAAACACAAGCATGAATATATTCAAGTTTTATGAAAAATAAAATGTTCTCTAAAATTTAAAAAAAAGTTTTTATCTTTTTTAATCCAGCCGGGGACAACCTGTATAAAAAAATGCAATATACACATATCTGTTATAAAAAACTTGTTTTTAACACAATAAAAAAGATACAATTAAAGAAGGATTACACTAAAAATGTGTACAACCCTCGGTAAAGCAGCAGCAACAGCAGCCTTCTATTTTGGAATAATTTTTCCCTGTTATTAAACTTTATCTTACCCTAATGAAAAACAACCAGTATATAAAAAAAATAAATGTCAAAATGCTTAAAAAACGTCCTATACCTATTAGAATGCTACAGAAGTGTCCAACCACTAACTGATTTTCATCAATTTAAAAAGGCTTTAATTCATTCAACCCGCCAGCTTTGTCTGAATATCACGAGTCCATCCATTTATAGTCCATGTAAATAACGCTGCGATAAAGTTAGATGAGATATCCGACTCTTTGTTCCCCTCATTAATAGCATATGGCGGAGAGAGAGGCGGCCACAGCTAGCCGGGATCCTGGATATATTCAAATCATGTCGAACCAGCCTTGAATTTACGACTGCCATATCATGGTAGGCATTGTATGCACGAAGCACCATCAGGATAGCACTGGAATGGAGAATATCGATAAAAGTGAGTGACGCTTCGATTTAGATGGCTGATAGGTTTAAGAAGACGCGACAGTCGTGACCTATATTTTGTGAAATGATATCGCAGGTGTTATATGACATCAATTGCAATTTTGAAATTAGTTATAGTTTAGTATATTATTGATTGATTATGAGCTAACAATGTCATTGAACGTGTCTAAACTTTTACAATAATAATGAAATATACAATTTAAAAACTTACAATGGGCTATATCTCACAATCGAAAGATGATATCAAAAATGCCTTTAAAATGTTTCTAGGATAAGAAGGGGAAACTAAAATAACGTACAGTTCATCAAATTTCTAGATGCTTTCGACGGCTAGACAGAGAAAGCACTACTGACGGGCATCCCGACGGATTTACGCAATGAAAGTACACTCTGCGCATCAAGTATTTCACTATTTCATTCAGACGTAAATGTCAGATGTAAATTTCGCTAAAACATTTCTTTTATTTTCGTTTGTGTTTTTTGCTCATTACAGTTTAATAGAACCTAAGTATGGAGTTTAATAGCAAATTAAGAGGCCGCGTGATTAACAGCCAATCTCGCGAAAAAATAGCCAATGTTATAGAGTTTATGAGAAGAGAAAGAAACTTTAATTCACCTTCAATACCATTTAAAAATGTAAATGATCGTGTTGCAGCCACAGGAGTATCTAAAAACAATATCGTCCGCATTTCTGGAGAGAAAAAAAGAATCGATAACCGTGAGATATCGGAATTTTCATCACCAAGAAAAACCATTAAAAAACCAAAAACAGTTAATGATATAGATGAAGCTGCACAAGAATCAAATTTTATTTTTTTATTATTAGATAGCTATTTTTGTTTCTGAGTTGTGTTCATTTACAGGCTCAATTTTTTTCCGTTTCTCCTTTTTGATTTTATATGGGGTTTCAAGTTGTTTTTGACTTATTTCGACGCAAATCACAACAACACACTTTTTTAATAAAGCAAACAAGTGTTAAGAGGTATATGTACGTGTAAACTACAATTACAAAAAATTGATATGAAACCCATGAAACCACCAACAAAAATGTAAAGCTAGCTTCCGTACTAGAACATGGTGTCATTCGTCGAGATAATTTATCGTTTTGTTTAATAGATCAAGAAATGTAAATATTCCCCTGTTATTTTTTATAAAATTATAAGAGAAATAAATTTTTTTCTAAATAGTATAGTTTATTATTTTGTAGAACAAAATTTCGAAAATTTTAGTAATGTTTCAGAAACAACCGTTATTAATAATAGGTACCATTTTCCTTAATAAGGTAGAAATAAAATATAAACTATTTCCACGATTTACAAAGGCCTACAAAAAAATTATAGGTATTTTCCGCTATCCTATAAAATTTATATTTTCTGACTCAATTTCAAAAGGTTGAAGGAATTCCAAAACACCTTTTATGGCATAATAATTATTTTCAATTCTACATACTATCTTTAGCTGCTTTTAAAAACGTTATAAGAAAGTCCAATCAGACCAATTTAATCCCTAAACTATTCCACACTTTTAAAATTTAATTACCTAAAAATATTAAAAACTATTTAAAATAACTTGTTTAGCAGACTGTACAATAGCTATCTTAGTCACACGTAGCGCGTTCTCTGTCTGGGCGTCGAACACCTCTAGAAATTTGATGAACTGTAAAAGAAAACTGACCCCTATCAACCCTCTAGGCCTCACCTACCCCAACTAAAAAAGTTTAAACAGCAAACCCCTACTTGTGATACGTCATTCAAAAGCCTAAAAAAATGCTATGCAGTGGTATAAATAATAATTGTACAGGGTAAATCAATGGTATTTTGTTATTGAAATGATGCGTTCAACGAAAGTTGTATGTGTTTTCTGTTTATAGAACTTTTGTTTAGCATTAGAAACTTACGTTATTCAAATAGACAGGTTCTATAAGGCACATAGAACCTTATTGCCCTTATAACTCACATTCTGCCAAAATTGTAACATAGAACCTTATAATTTTAAGCCAGCGACTGGTGTATAAAATTAAATAAAAGAGACACAGTTATTTAGTAAATATAAAAATTCCCCAACTGTATAGGGGCTGCAAAAATATTTTTTATTTAAATTGTGAAAACTTTTTAATTATTTTGTATGGATTTAATTAACTGGTGTATTGCAATAATACCCGATTTAGTTACATTGTTTTTTTTGACACTCGCAAAATATTGAAGATATCTCAAAATTAAGATGTATTCTTTTAAAAAATAATTATAATCTTGTATATCTAAATCTAGCGAGAGACAAATAAAAAGAGATGTCTGTTATGCCCTTTTCTGCATCTAAAGAGTTATAAATATGCTTCAGAAAGCTTCTGTATATAAAATTGTTAGAGTCAGCAGATAATTAGGAGACCGCGGCGTCACTGAGGCTGACGTTATTGCACCAGAGGAAACGGGAACACATTTGAATTTCGATCAGCCAAACGCAAGCAAGTAGGCATTTATGCCTGTTGAAGACATTCTTTATTTTGTTCCTTAATTAATTAGGTTTTAAACATTATTTTGGAGATATCTAATAAAACATAAAACCATGTTAACACGTGTTATGTGATGTCGTTAAGAGAGTGTTATAGTATACAGGGTCATAAATGAAAATATTAATTTTAAAGTTAATTTGTTGAACTTCTATTGTAAAAAGTGGGAAGCTTTTTCACGTTTTCACATTTTAAACAATGTGTATAAAAGTGTATCATGGAGGATTTAATAGCAGAGATGCTGCGCAGTTCCATAAACAGCAGAACAGCTCCAGAATAAGTTGATTTGTTCTTATTTTGGTCAGATATCAATGATTCTACGATTTGAAAACAACAGGTCAAAAAGATAAAGAGGAATTTAAGTGGTAAGATACCGGTAAAAGTATTGGATGATGCCAAAATACAGTTTAAAAATTGGACTTCAACACAAAGAGATTGGTTTTCTTTTAAATTTGATATTTTAAGAGTAATTTTCACACAAGAAATTGTTATACGTTTGCTTTATGAAGCTTTTTCTTTTGACAGATCACGATGTAATTCTTATACAGAATATGTTCATAAAAAAAAAGATTACTGTACGAAACTTTAATTTTAAATTTGAACTTTAAATAGTCATTTTAACAAAAAAAAATTGTCGGAGAGTTGCTTCTTAAATCCTGTTCTTCTGTCAGCTCACTCTAATTCTTACACAGCCTAGAATAATAAAAAAAAAGGTAGCTTGATTGAAAAATTGAAGTAAGGAAAATTTAATTGAATTAATTGTTTATGGTATTCACGATAGAAATGTACGAGATTCCGTTACTATTTGAGATTACTGAGGCCCTTCCAATGGGACTTCAGTATTGCATTAGTGCAGACAAAAACAAATTTTACCTTCATTTTTTAAACTTCTTTTTGCGTTTTCGAAAGGGCAAAAAAAATATTTGTCTGGTCGTCTGTGCGTATGAATGCCGGCACGGCAACTCAAGAACGAAAGTTCTGATTGACTTGCAGTTTTGATTTTCTTGAATTATTGCTTCTAACTTAGAACCATAGGGTTTTTGAAATATTTAGGTTTTGCTTTTTACAATAAAATATA